TTTTTGAGAACTGATTGTTACCATTGCATTGCATTGTGAATTTCATGGTATTTGTCATTGATTAAGAATTGTACTTAATTATATTTTTAAGGGGAAATTATATTACATACAGTAACATTAAGGGAAAGTAAAAAGAGATTTACTGAGCATATGAAGTAGCTATATTAAAATAAAAAGATTTAGTATTTATTTCCACCTAGAATAAATATAGAGTACAACACATTTTGTTATATATATATGATATATAGGTTAAAATAAGATTAACTAAATCAAAGGGTTACAAATCATTAAGGGGTTGCTATGGGCACTAATAGCAGCCGTCAGAAGGACCTTCAGGGTCCTGCCAAGTGTATGTATGACAAATATGGTAAATCAGCCATAACATTTTTGCCAAAATGGCATGGCAATTTGGGATTTCCTCAAAGTGGGAGTTTTCACCATGCCTCTTTGATATCACTGCGAAAAAGAATGTCGAAAAGATTTGAAGAAAAGATTAAAAAAGCTAAAGTAAGTGCCTGTAAAAAAGTTAATAAGAAATGGTCTAAACAGCTTGAGATTTTGAAACTTTGGGAAAAGGAAGCTGAAAATAGGAAGAGGGTTGAGCAAGATTTTTTAGATAAAAGCATGCCGATTTGTTCTTGAAGAAGCGTTTATTTATTTATTTGCCTTTAAAACCGTGAACCGTTGTCCTTTTAGCTCTGGATATGGGTCCTAACCCCTGACAGTGGAAAATATAAATTCAGTTATATCATCTTAATGACGCTGAGAAAAGCAGCCACCAGTAAGATACCATTTATGTCCTTTTTTATCGAGGCTTCTGAGGTCATCAACAACTACAGTGTTACAAAGTGATATCTGCACAGAGAGCTTATTCAAACCTCCATCGATGACCTCCAAACCAGAACATATTTGCTAATAATACAAATTAAGAGCTGATTTCTTTTTAATTGATCATGATCCCATTGTGTACATTGTATAAGTGAAGGAGAATGTCTCACATGATGCCTAGAGATAGAATTATCTTATGAATTGTCACAGCTTAGAAAAAACCCAACAGCATGCAAGTACCGATTGTATTATGTTTAACTCTCTTTGTTGGGATACAAAACATTCTGAGAAAAAAGGCAAGAAAATGTTTTCATCATGTTCATAAAGAAAATGTTTTGACTTAAAGGTAGGGTAGGTAATTCACTTCAGAAACACTTTTTGTTATATTCCATGGAATGCTCTTAACATCCCGATAGCAATGAATAAATTAAATACTTTGACAATATACAAAAATGTCATCTGTGGAAGCCGTGGCGCTGTAAAAAGCACGACCAATTATTTTAGCCGGCCCAGCTAAAATAACTGGATGGCCTACCTGCCTGTCAGCCTTCCATCTCGTGCACAAACTTATCTCGTGCCCTCATTGGTCATGTGCGCGTTCGTGTGTGTTGGAGGAGGGGCTCTGTAAGGAAGTCTGAAGGAAGGGGCAGATTTTTTTCGGCTGCCTACTTTCAAATTGTAGCGCACTCGAACTTTTAATTGTAGACTTGTAATTTGTATGTGTTGAGGTATAACATACAGAGACATGTATATTGTATGACTCCATGTAATACTGTGTACCATATTGTTTATGTAAGTAGCTGCGACTACTACTGTGTTCATTGGATAGCGCTGTAGCACCTGATGATGATGTCACTACCTGGGGTATAAGACCGTTGGAGTCACGCCCCTTCTCTCTCTGTCCTTAAGTCTCTTGACCTGTGTGCATCTAATAAATAACGCCGTGATGAATGGCTAAACTTGAACTGCTGAGAATAGTCACCTTTCTGCTGCAGAGAGACAAAAGGTATAAGTCTAAATCTGCTAACAGTATGTGATCACTAAATCAAACTGACCTCTAAAGAATTGAGCAACAGTGTCATCTTGTGGCCTTTTTGTGTAGTTGGCCAAAAGTACCAGTGTAAAAAAGCAACACAAATTAAGTGTGTGAACGGTTTAACATCAATGTAACATACATAAAGACACTATATTAACGATTGGAGAAAGCTATCACAACTGGTAATAAGTGTTTTCTGACATTGTTACAGATGTACCATTTGTAGTTTTAATAAATGCTCAATTTGACTGTTTAAACATTATCGCAAAACTCTAAGGGCAAATCCCAATAGTAATATCATTATTACCTCTATGCGTTTATAAACCCTTTCATGCATAGAGGTCACTACAGTGGACAGCTATTCAAAAGGTGTTTTCTTGTATATGCATTGTTTTTTTTTGCATAGTTGCACTATCAGCCACTACATAGGACCATATTGCATCATACCATACACTGCTACTCAGTGGAAAGTCAGTGTAGTACCCCTTTCACACCAACGGTGTTTCAGGGCCGGTTCGGTGCTGGTGCTTGAAAAGCACCGGGTTTTCCTGTTCACACCGCAGCGGAGCAGCGTCATAGCTCCGGAGTCCGGTTCGTTTCGAGCACCAAAAAGTTGTCCGTCTAGAAGCAAGAACCGCATACGTCACGCTTACGTCGGAGGGGGGCGAGATTAACCTGAGCTAACACTTAAGGCGAGTACGGCAAATAAAAGTTGTAACAAGCAGTAGTGCTGAGCAAAGTGACTAGAACGCAACCACACACTTGTTAAAAAAAACACACTTTATAAAGTCAGGCAACACTAACCAGGCTTCGTGTGATTCTGTTTACTTTGACCATCCGTTCGCTGTTATTGATCATTGTGGAGAGCAGGCAGACGTTTTGTTTGTTATTATAGCAGCTATCGGATGGAATCAATACATGGGCTGCACAGGTTGTCATGTCCGACTATCACAAGTAGAATCATAATGAAAAATACGTCGGTAAAAAGTGCCTGTAGAAAACTGCTTAGCAAGTAGTCAGTTTAGCTTCGGTTGCTATGCTAACATCACCCTGTTATACCAGAGAAACTTTCATAACAGCGTTGTGATGCCAAACAGCGTCAATTCAGACTGACACCAAACAGCGTCAATTCAGACTGACACACATTCACTTAAGGGGAACTGGGGATATGTATCAGCTGCTTGTGTGACAGTCAGACAGTGAATACTTTAGAGCCGTGTGAGCTAACCCGGAGCTAACGGGAGAATACACTCCCGTTGAAGAGCAGCCGGCCAGCACTGCAGCGGTCGGTAAATGCCGCTGAAACACATTAATAACAATGAACCACGGCACTCTGGAGAAAAGTATAAGGTTGGAGAAGTCGTTATTTAATTTAATCTGGCTTCGTATGATTAAAAGCAACGCAGTCCCCGGCCCGTTGTTGTGAGGTGAGCTCCGGCGTTGGGGAGAAACTCAGCGACGTAAACTGTGACGTCATGACGCAGCAGCGGCAGCACCAGTCGGGCTCTGAGCGGTGTGAAAAGAGCCGGCGCTAAACCGAAGAACCGGTTCTGAACCAGAAAAGCTCTAGCACGGAGCTTGAACCGGAGTTGCGTTGGTGTGAAAGGGGCATAAGTGCATGATACATGTCTCTAAACCAAGATGGACGACAGAAAGCCACATGGACCAAGTCACCCATCTATATCTTGCCAATGCTTTCATGGAAAGCGCTCCCTGCAGGTATAAAAAATGTGGTGACATCAAGTAACAACTAAGGAATCATATAATTCATAAATTATCAAAGTATTGATTTTATGTTTGCCGGAAATCATGATTAACCACCTGTCCACTACAGTGGATGTCATGCATCACTGGCTATATTTCAACTACAATTCATACTGGTACTGCTGCTGCTGTACCCAGGGCCGTCCCTCCCTACAGGCAGATCACGCAGACTGTGTGGGGCCTCACCTTGTGGAGGGGGCCACACCTTGCGGAGGGGGGCCTCATCTGAGGCGCACCTATGCGCTTATGTGGCGCAATTAGGGTGGCGCGGCACGGTTTCGCCGCTGCGAGGCTCCATTAGCACTCATCAAATAACTGTGCGTGGGGCCTCAAATTGGCCCCTGGCCCTGGTTATTCGTGAAAATATTTCATCTGCAATATCTTTTTGCGCCGTAAATCAATATACTTATGTTATTATAATGTAATTTTAAGTTTGCACATCTTTATTTATCATTTTTTCCAAATGTACATCTTTTCAGTTCAATCCCTGAACGCATACTGTCCACCTAAGTGGACATATAAAAATCTATTTAAAAAAAAATAGATAAAAAAAAAAAAAATTGTCAAATCTTGTTTTTCATGCCCCAAGAGCAATAATAACACTTGGTAAACAAATCCTGACTGAGGTTTTCATAATTCATGCATGACAAACACTTGAGTTTGACATTAAATTTCTCCTCTATTGGTCATCTAGCAGCGCCTTGAATCCACACTACTGTGATGGTGGTGAAAGAAGTATTCAGATGTATTCAAAAGATGTTCAACAACTATTTAATTTTCTAATGCTAAATCGATCATTTACTGCTAACATGATAGACACTTTGGACTTGTTTGAGAGCTTGAATAACAACTGACAAGTGAACAAATGCATGGATGAAATGTTGATGTGTGGTTCAGTTGTCTCTATATGCATTGAATAAAAACAATTGAGTTCTATATTAAATTCTCTTCTAATGGAAATGTGTCACCTGGGAGCACCTTGAATCTACTGTGATACGGAGCTGGAAGAAGTATTCAGATGTTTTACCTAAATTAAATTAACTAAACAGCAAAGTGAAGGCACTTTACTTTACATTTAATATTCGCAATATGAACTCAAAGTACCAAACTAGCGCTTGGAGCGGACTATTTGGTTTATCCTTGAGCCTCCCACAACCGCTTTGAACACTCAATTGGGTATGTCCAATGCGTGCTAATGTTATCCAAATTTAATATTAAGTGAAGACTTGTTTGCTGTAAATGAACTGTATTTGCATATGGCAGCACCTAATACACTGTTTAAACAAATTGCATATCCTGTTCTGCAGCAGGACACTCAAGTGGTAATTGTGTGATGGCATGTTATGTTTGTGTGCTGTATGCTTTGGTGAAGGGTGGGGTACTTAGCAGGAGAGCTTGTGAAAGCTCTGAAGGAAAAGCAGGATCTCAACATCACTGACAGAGACATCCTTTGTGTTCAGATCACTGGGCTATGCCATGACCTGGGTGAGTGATACACACCTTTCACTTTAATATGTGATAGGGTTTAAAAGAATAATTCATCAACAAAATGAACAATTGCATATAACAATTACTTACCCTGTTTTAGGGTTTTTCTCAGATACACTTTGAAACAAAGAATACAAATATATATATAATAATAATAATAATAATAATAATAATAATATATATATATATATATATATATATATATATATATATATATATGTATATATACAGAATGTTAAAATGGCTCACTTCAGTTTGTTTGCCAATCACCATTTTATTTTAATATTTATATTTCTCCGTATAGGACACGGACCCTTTTCCCATGTGTTTGATGCAATGTTCATCCCCAAAGCAACTGGTCCAGGTGAGGAAATTAAAACCTGGAAGGTGAGAAATTATTATTCTTAAGGGTCTTAAGCATGTTTTCTCTTCAGTGATTGTTATGTTAAATGCTTGTTTCCTTGTATTGTGTCTTAATATTTGCCCCTGTTTGATGTTGCAAATGGAGCTGCTATGATGCAGGAAAAATGTCAGATTTAATCTGACAATAAAATATAATCTTACCTGATCACACATGCAATATTTAACGTTAAGTGCGGAATTGCCTTTAATTAATATGTTGTATTTTGTTGCTTTTTTCAGTCAACCTCTCCACAGCTTTAATCAAATATCATGTGGTGCGACCAAATATCATGTGGTGCGACCAAATATCATGTGGTGCGACCAAATATCATGTGGTGCGACCAAATATCATGTGGTGCGACCAAATATCATGTGCTGCGACCGTTTTAGAGTGATAATTATGATTAAAATAGGTCATACATTGTCAGTTCTTATGCTTTAATATTCATTTGAGGATTTATATACTTATAGTACTTTACTTTAGACTCATTATGAATAATTTCTATGCAACTTTATTCGTCTTTGAAAGAATTGTTAGGGTTATGGTTAATATATCATGAAACTAGAGCAATTCATTACATTATTGTAATCATTATGAATGAATGTTTATTTATTTATTTATTTTTAACTGTTTATTCTATTTGAACAGATGCCACTGTCAAGTAAAATAAAAAGCGCTTGCCATAGGCAGCGTGTTAATTCTGACCCTGCAGCAAGAGCTGAGAACCTTGCAAGGAGAAGAGAAAGGTATGTTGTGTTGTTGCTTTTCCTTTTTTGTTAACATCTATCAACCATCCGAGATAAAATAGGCTATTTATCATAGATAAATGGCATGATGCTATACATTTTGTTTATTTATATATGTTTCAGCTACCAGAGAAAGAAACAGCAGGGAAAGATTCCATAAGTTAAGGCAAGTGAGCTGTCAGAGAGAGAGAGAAAGAAACAGAGAGAGAAATGGAGGGCTGCATCCAGTACTTACAGGGAAAGGAACAATATGGCAAACCCTTTGCTTGACCTTACACCACCATGTATGGAGAACTTTTCAGATGTAGAACAAGAACAGCCAGAAAATGCAGGACAAGCTATGGTGGACCCAATACCCCTAAATGAAACTTGTAATCCCCCATCATCTTCCACACCAGAGGAAAAGAAGAAAGTTACTACATCTTCTGCAGAAAGGCGTTGCAAAAAACTTCAGAAAGAGAAGTATAAAATACAAAAGCAGGTGTTACATCTTAGAAAAGAGCTTGCAAAAATGAGAAGACCTAAAGAAACATTTCGGAAGAGTGGAAAGAGGTTAATGGCAAGAGAGAGAGTGGGCTTAAGTGGGGAAAAAGCAAAAAGGGCCCAACAAATCGGCTGAGAGAGAGCAAGCTGTTGTCCATTTTTTGTCCAGAGACAAAAACAGTCGTCTGTTGCCAGGGAAAAAAGACACTATCATGAAAAACAAAAAGAAAATGCAAAGGAGGGTTTTAACCAAGCCCCTCACTGAGCTCCATGCCCAGTACAAAAAGAGGTCAAAGAGCATCTCTCAATGTCATACAGACAATTTGTGAGGAGGCGGCCTTTTTACATCACAGAGCCAACACATAGAGATTGAGAAACATGTGTGGAACATGAGAATGTCCGCCTCTTGGTTAACCTGTTAAGCCCTGAGCCTGTTTTTCAGGTCTCAGGCTCGAAAATGACATTCCCAGAACAAATGACCATATTTTCCCTTCTAAAAGGGTTAAATTAATAATCTTTTTTCTCAAAGTAATGATAAACCTGTGAGTTGGATGTAGAAAAGTCAGAATCAATATAGATGTTTTTTATTTTAAAGAAAATTCAGATTTTACATAGTAAAAAACTATAAATTATATAGTCCGTCCAAAAATTCTTTTTTACTTATAGTGAAAATTACCCTTGGATGATGGGTTAGTAGACTACAAGCTTTAGGAATCCAAAGTACAACATATAATAAGTACCCTATATCAAGATTGATGCAAAACAAGTGACATTTGACCTTTTTAGAGAGATTTAGCAAAAAGAAACCACTTCTGGGGTCATTTGGGTGGATTTTCCATATCTCTGGCCCCCCTTGCTCGATTTTGATGGTTGACACCTCTTTCTGACCGTTAGAGCCAATAGAATCGAAGGGGGAGTCCCCCACACACACACGTTGTGAAGATAAAATGTGGGGGCTTCGCGCATGTAATTTTCAATCAGAGTGAACCTATCTCTAGCTCTGACATCTGGAAACGGAAAAGCAGTTTTAATGCTTATGGATTATCAGAAATAATTTCAAAGGGACACAGACACATTAGTTTAACCTATGGATTAACTTCAGCAGCGTTTTTATCGTTTTAATGCCATTGAAGACCACTTTGGAGAGACTATAGAGCCAAGGTAAAAATGTTAGCATTTTTAGCTACCTAGCGTCACCTGTTTTGATGTCCGTTTTTGCTTATAACGTCGCAAATACGTATAATTCAGTGGTAATGTCGGTGTCAATAGATTCTGTGTCACCTCACGATGTGAATCGATGTGTTGGATGTGGTCGTTGCTAATTCAGAGGCTCAGTGTTAGCATTGTGGGTTTTCTTTTGAAAAAAAAAAAAAAATGATCAGTTAGATGAGTTTCTTCCTGTTACATGGATATAAAACATTCATAGTTTTATTAAATGAACATGCCCTCAGACACTTTTTCCTGCAAGATGTTGCGGCAGTGCCCCGGTACCGGGGTCTCTCGGGCTTAACAGGTTTGCTACTAGAGGGTTGCTTAAAACAACCAGCATCTCAGAATTGTTGAGTATGATTGTGTGTGATCGTAAAAATAAAGCATGCATGGACCGCAAATGTCCCACTTGCTGCTTTGAAGAAACAGAAATTCCTGAGACAGAGTGTGGCAAAGTTTCTTGGGATCAATGGGAGCGCGTCACATCAACAAAAGGAGAGAAAAACTTTGCAAATGTTTTAAAGCAGACATACACAGGGACAATCCAGACAACAGAGTTGTTCCAGAAAAAGCTTGAGCCATTCATCAATTTAATTGGATACACCAAACAGAACAGTTTTGTGACCTCAAACTAAATCTCACTGACACTGAAGCAGTTCTACACATAGATTTTTCAGAGAACTATTCATGTAAGATGAGTACTGAAATACAAGCCTACCATTTTGGAGGCAGCAGAAAGCAAGCCACATTACACACTGCTGTACTCTCCACAGTCATTGGCACTAAGTCATATGCCACACTGTCGGACAACCTCCGCCATGATGAGCAGGCAGTGTGGGCCCACCTGGAGCCCATACTGAAAGAGCTTCGGGCAACCTGCCCCCAGATTACAGTATTACATGTAATCAGTGATGGGCCCTGTACACAGTACAGGAACAAAGCAGACTTTTACCTCCTCAGCACTGTTCCCTTCCTTTCTAATTTCAAGTTACATGGAACTACTCTGAAGAGTCGCATGGAAAGGGAGCCCCAGATGGCATTGGTGGTGCGGTTAAGAGAGATGCAGATCTTTATGTCCAAAGAGGGGGCGACCTACAGACTCCACTGGATGTTTATGAGATGCTTGCAAAAAAAGCTATTACCTTCCATTGGATAAGCGAAGAAATCATTGAAAAATATGATGAGCTGATTCCAGGCAAATTGGCAACAGTGAAGGGCACTTTAAAGATTCACCAGGTGTTGTCTGTAGAAGCTGGTAAAATAAGTCACAGGCAGGTTTCATGCTTTTGCACACATGCAGAAATGAAGCCATGCTCATGTTACCAGCCACAACTGGTAGACATGAGGAACACCGAGATTTGGTAAGCACTCCTAATCCACCAAGGCAACCTGCCAGTGTAAAAGACCTCAGTGGAAAGTTTGTGATTGTTACCTATGATGAACTTCCCTATATAGGTCAGGTCCTTGAGGTTGTGGAAGAAGTGGTCCAGGTTAGCTGCATGCGGCAGTCAGGTGAAAAGAATTTATTCATGTGGCCACAAATTCTTGACATCATTTTTCTACGATAGGAAAGATGTTCAATCTATCATCGCAGAACCTGAGCCAACAACCTCACGATTCTCTAAATTGAGCAGCCAAGATTGGGTAGAGTTCAATAGTGCCTGGGGTTGCAGAAAGGCCTGAACATAGGCAATCCTGTAACCCATTTGAAGCAAGGGTAATAATAATATCAAATTAAATGTTGGTTCATATTGTGCACTTCACTTAAATCTGTAAAGTAAAACATTACATGATTTGTTAATACATGGTTTTTAACAATGTTATATCCTACGAAAAGTCATACTTTTTTTTGTTAAATGAAATGCTTTTGGTAAAAAGTCATACATTTGTACTGCTTTAAATGTATTGTTTTCTAAATGTTTGAGATAAAATGTATTTCAAAAATGTTTATTGTTTATTATTTATACTAGCACCATTCTTCAGTAAAGATAGTTGCAGCTCTGCTCTTGGTAATGCTGATATACTTGTCTTTCTTTATTTACATGCAGTGTGGACCGACTGTCCCGTCACAGTATCTTGATGAATCTGAAGTTTGGGAAAATTGAAGTTAAACCTGAAAAAATAAAGAAAACACTTCCTGGCTCTCCTTGGTTCATACTGATTGAAGGTGATCGAGAAATTTGATCAAGTGAGTAGTGACTTAACGACTTAAAAGTGAATAAGGATGCATTATGCACAATTGGGCCATATATGCAGTTTTTAGAGCCCTGTTTAATATTATAAACCAATCTAAGTGCAAATGTGATCATTTTAAATCAGCTTTAATTAAGAATCACTGTTTAATACCATATTATGGCTATTTGAAATGTAATTTTAGGTGTGATTTAGGGATTTAAAATATTTAGTGGTGTTTGTTTAAGATATCTATCGTGTGAATTAATGTGGTAACCTGATTAGATATTATTTTCAATTGTATTCATGTTTGATTAAAGATTGTTTTGGGTGTATGTCTTTGTTTTTAATCTATCAATATGAAATCAATATCGTTACTATTACCATTATATATTACTATTCATACTGTAGTTATACAATATAGCTTGCTTCCTTCAATGTAACCATCTGTATGAATGTGGTTATATTTTTGTTTATGGTCATGGTGTGAAAATGTTGTGATTTGTCATCATGGGACTTTTGAGGAAAACCTACAACAATGTTTCAACTTTGTTGCTGTTGAGATTGGGTTAATAAAAAAGTGTTTCTTCTTGATTTTAAATCAATTAAATGTTGTGTTTATTGAGTGTCATTGTGCCATTTTACTGATCCAACATAATAATTCAGCAGCGATATGAATTCTGTTGCTTATTCAATTCTTCAACAAGTATCACGAGGACAGATTCTTTTTTTTTGCACCACTCTGAGGTAATTCATCTAAGGGAATATTTGAAGAAGCGTATCTCACACAGTCACACACTTCAATATCCATTTAATACCAAACATCTACTGATACATAACTCACTCTATTAGAGCTGCAACTATTAACCAAAGTGAAGCTAGCATTTACAATTTCCCTGAAGCCCTTTTCATTAATGCACTTAGTTTGCTTCCTCAACGTGTCTATATTGCAAACTACCTCTGCTTTATTTCTATATAGGATGCTCATTGCAGGGTTGGGCTATATGACAATATATGTAAAATGTAGCGTGAGACGATGTTAATCTTCCTGCCGTATTGTTTTATGATATTTCCCTATAATTATGACTGGTTTAATTGGACCATCAATCAGGGTGATAATCCTGGATTTAAAACTTACTATGTTATTCATTTCACTGGATGTGTCAAAACAGATGATCCTAACTATTTTATCAATAAACAATTCATAGAATATATATCATATATTATAAAAAATACAAACCAAAAGAATAGTGTCAATATTGCCTACCCATACTATTGTATTGCCTTACTTCTACTGTTTTGTTGTTAATTTGGAGTTTTCCCTTATACAAAATGAGGGCCTAGAGACGATAAGGTAGTATTATGCATGTTACCTTCAAACCAGGTTATACAGTATGAGCAGTGTATTTCAATGTCATGTTACTTTATACTTCATTACATTTTTAAATCAAATACTGAATTTTTTACTCCTCAACATTTTTCGACAGCTTTAGTTGCTAGTAACTTTGCAGATTCAGAAAATGTAAACAAAATATATAAAAGAAACTAGTAAATGATAATGGATTACGTCAGCTGGCAATACATAAAGCACAGTTTCCAGCTGCAACATGAATCATTAAAGACTATCAGCAGATATACTGATATACAGATTTATACTGTAAAGAGCTATTCTGCATAATAAGTAATTTCACTTTGTACTTAAAGGTCCCCTAATATACTGTTTTTCATCAATATATTATGGGTCTCAGATATATACAAAACATGTCTCTGAAGTGTTTGGCTCCAAATACCAAACATATCATATATTGTAGCATCCCATAATCCCCTCTGTTTCAGCCCTGTTTCAAAAGTGCTTATTCTCTGTCTGTTACTTCAGATGAAAATAAGGAGCCACTCCCCACGCCCCTCTGAGAGATATTTGGTTAAAAAGAACACAATGGTGCTCTAGGAGGAGATTCAGGTGATAAGGGGGGGGGTTGCACAAGCCAAAAAAATCGTTATGACATTATAAAGTGGCCAAAATCTGATCAGGTTATTTTCAGACAGGTTTTTTTATATAAATGGATCAGGACAAAAGGAGAGCAAATCTTTTTTCCTGAAACTTTCAGAATCTCTTTACACAGAGGGGACACATGTTTATGTATAAAAGACATTAAGAAGTGGATTTTTCCTAATAGGTGACGTTTTAACTTGCGATTTACCCACTGGGTCCTGTCGCGTGTCGATGCTCTTCGCTCCCTCAACACGTGTGTTTCAATGATCCCTCCATTCATACTTTATCACAATAGTTCTACACACAGGAATATCGTTTTTAAAAACGCCGGCACTGCATGTCCTCCATCGTCGTCACTGAACGTAATCCGGGGTTTTGGCGTCACTTCTCTGGCCTCATTTGCTGCACTATATTTGGCTCCACCTTCCACGTGCTACCCCATTGCGTCAAGTTCTCTACAAGCAGCAAACAAGTGACCGGAAGCGAAGTGTTGAAATAAAATCATAAAACAGATTGAGGTTTGCGTTCACTCAAGGTGATCAACAGCTTAGGTCAGCATTTATTTATTTGTATTTATTTTTTTGACAGTCGTGAAGTAAAAAACTGTGATTTATTAATGTTCACAAATAGGCTATAAATGATTGTGATAAGCAAGTATGTGTTACTGTTTTTTTTACAGCAGCAGCCGGTCATGCTGGACCCAAACCAACACTTTTATATTAAAAGACTTATAAGCCGACCAAAGTTTTATTTCTTTTGAATTATACGATAATTGTTAAAATTACTATTAAAAATGTTTACTGGAAATCCAAAAAATGAAATAGGAACATTATTGTATTTAATACTTATATATGTTACCCATACATTTCAAGGCTTTTATTAGTCATACGTTCATAGCTAGAGTGTAGTTATGACGATGAAAATCTTAGGTCCCAGGCTCCACCAGCAGTGCAACACAATAAAACAGGAAAACAGAAACATAGTGCAAGTAAATACAAAAAGAAAAATAGTAAAATACTGAAATAGTGCAATAAGAGTCTATATACAATGATTGGAATATGAAATAATAGATACATAATTTCTAAGTAGCAGCCAGATGAATGTTATGGATGTTGTTTCAAGTTCAGGTATTTAATAGTCTTATGGCCTGTGGGATGAAGCTGTCCCTGAGTCTGGTGGTTTTAGTCCTGGTGCTGTGGTACCACCTGCCAGACGGCAGCAGACAGAACAGTTTGTGGCTGGGGTGGTGGGGGTCTTTGTAATCCTGAGGGCTTTCTTCTTACTTGGGAGTAAAGATCCTCCATGAATGGCAGCTCCGTCCTGATGTTCTGTGCAGTTTTCACCACCCTCTGTAAAGCCTTACGATTGAGGGCGGTGCCGCTGCCGTACCAGGCCGTGATGCAGCCAGTCAGGATACTCTCTATGGTGCACCTGTGGAAGTTGCAGAGTATCCTGGAGTCCATGTTGAACCTCCTCAGCCTGCGGAGGAAGAAGAGCCGCTGTCGAGCTGTTTTGGTGATGGTGTTTGTGTGATGAGTCCAAGTCAGGTCCTCACTGATTTGTTTGCACTTCGTTGTTTTGTCACCTATTTGCCTCACATGTCTTTAAAGGGGACATACCATGAGATCTTTTATACATAATAGGTGTTTTATAAGTGCCAACCAAGCCACAAATCATACAAACCAGAACATTGTAGTGGGCTGCCTTGGTCAGAAAACATGAGATTCAACAAGCCACTCAGATGTATCCCCCCCTTCTGATGTCACATGCAAGCTCATTCAAATATAATTTTGAGAACTACCATTGCTATTTTTTCTGCAAGCCAATCAGAGCAAACTAGGCTTTTTTGGAAGGGGACGTGTAAAGACAGGCACTAAAGTGGAGAATGTAAAAAGAGAGCATGAGATCCTTTATTTTTTTATATGAAAGCATGTCGATTTGTTGTTGAAGAAGCGTTTATTTCTTTATTTTCCCTTTAAACCCTGAACTGTTGTCCTTTTAGCTCTGGATCATGGTCCTAACCCCTGTCCCCTCACACTCAGACAGTGGAAAATAAATTCAGTTATATCATCTTGATGACGCTGAGAAAAGCAGCCACCAGTAAGATACCATTTATGTCCTTTTTTTATCGAGGCTTCTGAGGTTATCAACAACTACAGTGTAACAAAGTGATATCTGCACAGAGCTTATTCAAACCTCCATCGATGACTCCAAACCAGAACATATTTGCTAATAATACAAATTAAGAGCTGATTTTTTTTTTATGATCTTGATCCCATTGTGTACATTGTATAAGCGAAGGAGAATGTCTCACATGATGCCTAGAGATAGAATTATCTTTCTCTGAAACTTTTAGACACATGTATTGTCACAGCTTAGAAAAAACCCAACAGCATGCAAGTACCGATTGTATATGTTTAACCTATTTGTGGGATACAAAACATTCTGAGAAAAAAGTTGAGAAATGTTCATAACATTTTTTTTTTTACTTGGCCTTTTTGGGTAGTTGGCCAAAAGTACCAGTGTAAAAAAGCAACAAAGATTAAGTGTGTGAACCTCATGGATTACCAACTACCTCACGGACAGACCACAGTACGTCCGGCTGGGCAGTGTGCTGTCTGATGTGGTGGTTGGTAGTATTGGAGCCCCACAGGGGACTTTGCTGTCTCCTTTCCTGTTCACCTTATACACCTCTGACTTTCAATACAACTCAGAGTCATGCCACCTGCAGAAGTTTTCGGATGACTCTGCAGTGGTAGGGTGTATAAGGGATGGACGGGAGGAGGAGTACAGAGCGCTGGTGGGTGATTTTGTTGAGTGGACTGGAAGAAATCATCTGCTTCTGAATGTGGCCAAGACCAGAGAGATGGTCATTGATTTCAGGAGGAAGAGGACATCTCCTCCTCTGCCCCTGTGCATTCTAGGAGAGGATGTGGCAGTTGTGGAGGTCTACAAGTACCTGGGAGTGCACTTAGACAATGGGCTGAACTGGAGGATCAACACTGACGCTGTGTACAAGAAGGGGATGAGCCGACTCTATTTTCTAGTTTTGTTTTATTGTAAAAATGCCTTTTATGCTGCTGTAACAAAACAATTTCCAATTTGGGATCAATAAAGTACGATCTATCTATCTATCTATCTATCTATCATACAAAAAGACATTATATTACAATTGGAGAAAGCTATCACAACTGGTAATAAGTGTTTTCTGACATTGTTACAGATGTACCATTTGTAGTTTTAATAAATGCTTAATTTGACTATTTAAACATTATCGCAAAACTCTAAGGGCAAATCCCAATATTAATATCATTATTACCTCTATATGCGTTTATTAAAAACAATTGAGTTTGACATTAAATTCTCCTCTATTGGTCATCTAGCAGCGCCTTGAATCCACACTACTGTGATGGTGGTGAAAGAAGTATTCAGATGTATTCAAAAGATGTTCAACAACTATTTCATTTTCTAATGCTAAATCGATCATTTACTGCTAACATTATAGACACTTTGGACTTGTTTGAGAGCTTGAAATACAACTGACAAGTGAACAAATGCATGGATGAAATGTTGATGTGTGGTTCAGTTGCCTCTATATGCATTA